CCTTACCCTCCCACGTGTCGGGTCATGTCCTCCCCGCACGTGCGGCCCCCCAGCTCTATAAATACCCGCCCCGGCGCCCACTTCTCTTCCTAACCCGCCAGTTAAAAGAACCCGAACCTGGAAAATAATCAGCCAAAAAAACAAAACAGATCTTTAAAATGAAAAACGAGAAAATTACATTGAAGAGGAAGATTGAAGAAGGCGAGAGGAATCAAGCTGGGGAGGAAAATCGGGACGGCCTTCAGGTGGGTAATCCGACCGAGAAGCGCGATTCGATCCGTGAAGAAGCCGATATCCGGGATTCTGTCGATGATCCGGGTCCTGCAGCGGAGGGCTCTGGAGACGGTGAATAATAATTCGGGTCGGAGGAGGGATTGCGTCCGGTTGGGCCGGGTGAAGCCGGTGGAGGATTCGGCGCCGAAGAAGGGGCACCTGGCGGTGTACGTGGGGGAATCGGACGGCGACACGAGGCGGGTCATGGTGCCCGTGATGTACTTCAACCACCCGCTGTTCGGGGAACTGCTGGAGGAGGCGGAGCGGGTTTACGGGTTCGACCAGACGGGCGGGATCAGCATTCCGATCGGGTATAAAAAGTTTGAGAAGGTGAAGATGAGGATCGACGCCTGGGGGCGGCGGGGTTGACCGCCGCCGACGGTGCGGTTTAGTTAGATTAATTTGGAGTTTTTTTTTCTTCTTCTTAATTCCTTCTTCGTCTTTTTTTGTAATTATTAATTTTCCAAAGCGGATGATATGTTAATAGTAAGACGAAGTTTCGTGGATTCGTCATGTGGATTGGATAGTTGACAAAGGTAGGAATGGCAATGGGCAGGTTCGGGGCGGGTTTCTTGGTACCCAGACCCGCCCTGTGGCAGGTTGGGTCCAGGTCGGATAATTGATCACGGGTCGGGGGTTGAGGCAGGTAGACCCAATGGGTATGTAATTTATATGAAAAACATTAGAAATATTCGTATTTTTATTATAAGACTAAGAAAACAAATAATATTATGACAATTGTAGTTAAATTATTGGAGAAATTGAAGTTTTTACTTATTTACAACTTTATTATAGCTAAAATATGATGCAATAAAAGGGAAAATCTAAGTAATTTGACTAAGATTACATGTAATTTAGACAAGAACGGGTCGAGAATGGGGCGGGTCAGGACAGGTCGGGTCGATGAGACTACCCATGCCCGCCCCGCCTCGCCTACGACCCGCCCCAAAACAGGTCAAACAGGTCGGGTAAAACGGGTCAGGTCGAAATTGCCATCCCTAGACAAAGGTGATGAATTAAGAATTATTGTGGAAAAATAAGGAAACGGGGTTAATTGGTTTCATAAATGGGAAAATTCAACGGTTAAGTACGTTTCTCTTCGTCGCCATTAATCGGCAGAGAAAATGTGATCCATTTCCTAAGCTAGATTAATAAATAGGCCAGTGTATTAGTACGTATGGTGGTTGACCTACAAAAATTTAGAAAAAGGGAAATAAATAAATTGTTTTTTTGGGAAAAATTTAATACAATTTTGCTGCATATATTTTTATGGATGAGAGAAAATATATAAGAAAAGGTTTATACAAGTCGTATGGAGCGTGAAAAAATTTCAAAGTATAAATTTATATCTACAAGACTAGAAATTAGTAGGGTTATGTGCCCCATCTTTATTAAAAGCTGTAAATTATTAATGTGTATGTCCCTCAGTCAACTAATCGTACAAATATTGATGTACAAGTGGATGTAAGATTTCAACTAACATTATCAAATGCATACGTAAACATTTTTCTCTAACTCGATCGATCCAACAAGTCTTTCCCCCTTAGAAACTACTAGTCTAATCTACCCTATCTTTGGTGACATAAGTGGAAGAAATTGATCATAGGATGATTTTGGTCGGTATGAAGATGAGTTGATGTTTTGGATTCTTTAATGAGGAACCCCCATAGATAAATCCATATATAATCCTAATTCCTTTCAACAAATCACAAATGCACAGATCAAAATATTATCATTATCTTCTTCCATTTCCTTTTGATTAAAGCTCATTGAATAGTTTGGTCTAATCCTTATCTTAATTCTTAATTACCTCATTGGTTCCGTACATTATTATTAGAGAATTATTGAACTAAAAAATATCCCTCGCCACCCATATGGTCTTGTGATGTGTTCTGATGACCTGTCTCAAATTTCAAATTTTATAGTTAATTATAAAAAGTGAAATTTGTTACAACTCTTATTAAACAACAATAATTGGCAAAGCTCTAGTACTTAGGCTTCTTTGTTCAATTACGGGGGATTCAACTCTTTTAATCAACTTTCATTCCGCATCCTTGCTCAAATTTGTAGTGGAACGTATTCATGTGAAAGCAGAATTCAAGCATAACAGGCTGGAAAAAGTCTGAAAAGATGAATGTTTTGTTGTTCTGTCTTCTAATAAGGGAAACAAATATTAATAATAAAATGGAGTTAAGGGCAAATATCGTCCTATGGCTTTGTCCTTCTTCTTCTTCTTTTTTTTTTTTTTTTTCAGGACTGAACAAGGCAAGAAGGAAAATTTCAAGTATATTTCTTGTTCCGCATTTCTCATTTCTTGGAATTATAGTTTCTGAGATCCCAAAGCTTTAATTTTGTTGATTAAGTGGAGAAAAATGAAGAAGCTTTAATTTTGTTTTGCATTTCACAACTTACAGCTATATATAAACTTCCATGAACTTCGGAATTGTCAATGCCTTTACGATTAACCTATATATTAATAAGAGTGATGTTTTATTTTACAAGAAATGCTCTTTTTTTTTTTTTGCTATAAACATGTAACATTGTATGTTGTATCCAAGTATATTTATCAAATACGAAAAAATTTATTTTTGAAGTATCATATTCGTCGAGAAATAATGGAACTCCAAATCATACTAACAATAAAGGACACATGAAAAGTAAATGAGTATGGATCTTAACGTCATGTGGATATAATATATTTCTCGAACCATTAAATAACAGTGCGGATTAAAAGATGACACATATTTATACTCCACTGACCACTAGAAGCAAAGCTGCTGATGCATCTTTATTCGTTTAGCGCAAGTGGAACAAGCTTCCTTCGAAAATACAGGAAAGTTGACCGTACGTAAACATCAAAGTAGCCGTACTGGCTGAGTTGTCAATTAATTTATTCGTCATATTTGTGAAATACAAGAAATTGACAAAACAAAAAAAAAACAACCAAAATAAATTAGGACACTCCGCCTTTTTTTATTCTTCAATAAAAATTAAAAAGCACCAAACACACTCACCGAACTTCCATAGCTTTTTAAAATGGTCAATACACTAGTCTTTGTCCTCCAACTAAATTGATAACTCTCCTTTCCATGGCCTCAACACTCAACATTGAAATATACAATGAGATACCACGATATGAAGTGGGTATTTTGTACATTGTTAAGACGGAGTCAGGAATTTGAATGAGAAAACTAATTTGAATTATAATTTTAAAGGAGGTTAATGCTATATCATTAGTCGACTACTTTATTTTTTAAATCTGTTAAATTTTACATGTAGTTTTACGTGTATTAAAAAATGAGTGCAACTATAATGGAATAGGTTAGCGTGGTTATTCAATTTTGAGTAACCATGGTGGCTACCATAATCTACACCCTTTATTATCTTTATTTTATCCTATTTTTAAATTGACGGTAAAAATTAGATTAAGGATAATTTTGAAAATGAAAAAGCAACACACCTGATTACGCTCTATATTATACCTAAACCCTAATGCAACTATCTTCATAGCCGCCACCTCTCCTCCCTCTGACCCACCCCACAACCCCATTTGCCTACCACCACCGTCCTCCCTTTGACCCACCCCACAACCCCATTTGCCTACCACCCCCATCCCCTTCCCCCGCCATCCCTCCTCCCTACCACTGCAGCCGACGACGATGACGAGGAACCAAGGTCATGAGCAACGAGCGTGGCGTCTCCCTCATGAAATCCACTAAGGGGTCAGCTAGGTTTCACTCACTCCCCTCGCAATCTCTCTCTCACACAGGCGGCTGGAAAAGGTGGGATGAATAAAAATTCTAGATATGATTTTTTTTCGCATTGGTAGTGATTATTTCGTAGTGGTAGCATTTTTTCGCATAAGTATTGTTTTCGTTGCATTGGTATTGATTATCATTGAATGGTATTAATTTGCATGTATTGGTATTGATCAAATCTGCAATGGTATTGATTTTTTGTGAAATGGTATATATTTATATTGGTAGATTGTTTATATTGGTAGTTTTCGTGTAATGGTATAGATTTCTTTCTGCAATGGTATTGATATTTTTCAAAGTGGTAGTGGTTGTCTAATGGATTGGTAGTGATTTCGTGTTTTTTTTTTTCTTTTGCAGAAAGATTGAGAAAAATAAGGAAAGAGGATCTGGCTGGAGATTATGGAAGTGAGAGAAAGAGAGAGAATTGTAATTAATAGATTCTTGTAACTACCTAAATTTAATTTATTAAAAAATTTAATTCATACTATTTATTTTTCATACCCAATTTACCCTTAGTAACCAAAAGTAGTAATCACCGTAACCTGTCCCCAACTATAATCCCTCCTAGTTTCTGTCTTAAGTATTTTGTATGTAGTACAATTTCGAAAAGTACAATTAATAGTTGCATTTCTTATTAGGATTTTAAAAGATCCTGATTTACTCATCATTAATGAATGACAAGTCAAACCTCCCAAGTTTGTTGATCTAATGGAATAGTATTTGCCCTTCGGTTGCACAAAAGCTGACTCTATGAATAGGAAGGTTCACCCAACAAATCATTTCGTTAAACGTTGACTATATATCCGTACCAAAGGTCGCTCTGGCCGCGCATTTTGGAGCCGCCATTTCGGATAATCACCGCAGGAAGGAAGGAACAAGTCAACGAAGGCCACCAGAAGTCCAGAACCACTATCTTTTCTAGCGATTGGGTCGAATTCTTCCGACATGGCCGGCCCAACAAAATTTTGGCACGAGAAGATGAGAAATGTCCCAATCTATAAAGCCCAACCCAGGTGAAGCCCAACAAGATCTGAAACCTCGACCGGAAATGGTTTACCAAATACTCATTTCACCTTTTTTTCATATAATAATTTCACGACCTTATACATCCAAGTACACAACAACAGGTTCTACAACCCCCTTATTTACAGAACCCATATATCCCAACGGCTTACCTCTTTTTAGTCTCCCCTGCCTAGTATAGCATCAGAACAATCCATTAGATATATGTAGAGATGGTCATTTTCTTCATCTTTCAAGCACTGAATCCGACATTCAACGGGCTCAAATTCCCAGCTGCATACCCTGCACACGCCACGCCTGACGCTTCCTCCATCGTCGCCTTGGACACCCCACTGTTACAGATGTTGGCAAATGCTCTCATGTGCTTCATCCCGTACTGCGTCAGTGACCCACATTTCCCTTCGAACACCCTCACCTGCAGCAAAAAAAAATCCACAAACCAACTCATCAATATGCTTCAATTCAATGTTGGCTGCAAGATGCGATGCGACGGTAATACGAGATTAACTCACCATCGATTTCAAGCATTGCCAGTCGTCCACCAGCGCGGATCCGGGCCCCCTGACCTTGTTGAGCACTTGTGGGCCGTTTTTGGGTCCGAACAAGAGCGTCCCAACCAATTCGATGCTGCCGTCCAAGTGGTTCCTATACGTCACGGTCCTCCTGATCTCGTCCAGTATCTCTGCCTTCTTCCTAGATCCGTTCTCCGATCTCTTGTACTGGAGAAACAGCATCACAGGACAGAGCATGTCATGTGGTATGCACATTTTTATTTGGTCATCTAGTAGGACTTATTAATGTATGGTTTGATTTGATCGTAAGAAACACTTTACCATATGCCACAAGAAGAGAAGCTCTGCATCTCTCTGGTTCACAACATCCGTCCTCGACAACCCAACATTGCTGGGCCGTGGAGGGATGTTAACGCTGTCGGGATCAAAGCCCTGGTACAGGTAGAGCTTCTCCGGCTTGATCCCCTGGCTCCCGTATTCCATCACGTGGGATCCGCCACTCGAGGTCCTCGACTTCACAGCCTTGTACTGCTGATTCACCGTCTCCCTCTTCAGATTGTGCGTCTCGCTGAATGCCAGAGGAATTGGGGAAAAGATTTGATGAGGAGGTCAATTCGATCGTATATCGCGCGCGACATCGATTGTTCATCATGGTAATTAGACATAGATATATATGTGTACAAAGACAGAGTTGCAGGACACCATTGTTGTAAATTTGACCTGTCTTCCATCCAGGCGACGCTGTAGAGATCCCCGATGCAAGTGATGTACTCCGGGGGAAGGGACGGGTCCATCCCGGGGCAGTAAGTCCCGAAGCTGGCCTCCTGTGCGTTGGCCGCAGTGGTGACGTAGATGTTCAAGTCCGTGGGCATGATCCCTTCAAAGATGCTGCCGCTCTCGCAGGCCTCCACGTAGATCACCATTTCTTTGTAACTACCAGCTGCGTGCTTCTTCTTCAACACATTGATCAACTCCATCGCGTATACGGAAGGCATGTTCGGCATCCCTGAACAGATAAAGTGGCAGTGTGGCACAGTCAAGCATAAGTTGCACATCTCAATCAGCTATCCTCAACACCTTGTAACTTGGCCTTTATTGTTTCCACCCGACTTACCAAGAACACCAGGGCCGCCATGGTCCGAATAGTACAAGAAAATCCGGTCGTTGGGCTTGCTCGCCACAACCTTGCCGCTTCCCCCTTTCACTGCAGCTTTGTCACCCATGATCACCGCGTACAGATTCTCCGCGGTCACATTCTCCCCCGTGTAATCCTGTTGCACCAAATGATCAAATCAATCCTAAGTCTTTAAGCTTTGGCAAGTTTTTATTGATTTATGGTGCCACATAGATTCAGTATTTTAATTAAAACCATGATAATGACAGAGCAGTAATTAAGTAACTAAGAAACCCCCCTGAAGCAATCCTGACCCGTCAGTTCTTTTCTTTTTATTGCTTGTCCCGAAATCAAAGATTTAATCATCAAATTAAAACCCTTTAATTTACACATCGCTATCGACTACAATCCAACCACTCGTTAAGTACCTACTCTACTTAAAAGGACAAACACAAAGTATCAATGTAAAATAAACCCCTAAATCCCTTAAACTAAAAATTCTTCCTTTATAGAAAAGATGGAGACACTGGTGCAATCCAGGCTGCTGTGCAAATGTGGAACCTATCATCAACCAAAGTTAAGTGTACTAATCAATCCTTCACCTTGGGGACGCCGGCGTAAACGTCGTCGCCTTGCGGGTGGTTGATGATGGTCCCAGGCCTGGGATTGAGCTCGTTGTTAGCGATATCGTCGAACATGAACACAACAATGTTCTCCTCCTTCAACCCGCCTTTCTTAAGCAGCTGATACGCGTGGCAAACGTCCGCCTAATCATATATATATCGCCACAAAACTCAGTACTCCCGTCACTAAATCATCATATTAATAATAGCTAATAGAACTACTAACTAATCACCCATAAATTGTACCATACCTGATGCCTGTAGTTTCCGTACCCATTGGAGCCCGCCACGAGGACCGCCCACCTTGTCCCGACTTCATCGTCGTCGGGGCCATTCTCCGTCGGCATCACAATTCCGGGATGGAAGGGGTTCTTCACGGGGAAGGCCTCGCCGGCGAGAAAAGACAGAGTGACCAGAAGCAGGGCAAAGAAGGCAACTTTATGAGTCTCCATTAGTGGTTTAATTCCGTTCCTTTTTCGTTGGTGGGATGCGGAGGGAGGAATTGGAGAAAGGGGAAGACTGAGGAGTGGAATTTATAGGAGAGGAAGGATGAATTAGGAAGCCATGCAAAAAGGAGGAGCTGACACGTCGATGGGGGTCCACCGGAGCGCCAAATGGGGCTCTGTTTTAGCTCCGCTTTACTCTGCCGCCGCAGCCCTCCTCTGTTTTTCTGTCTCTCTGCCGGTAAATTTGGGAAAGTGTGATTCTTGGAGTTGGATAAATTGGCCGACGGTTTCGGAGTTTGATTACAGATTTTGTTAATTTGCGTGTGGTTTTGGGGCTTGAAGGTGGTGTTGCTTCTCGGGGGAGGATTTTTACAGTTGTGAACGAAGGAATCTGGGCAAAAAAGAAACAACTCTTTCTGATAGATGGAGAGGGGACTCAGGGGAGGGTTTCTGTGTTAACTCAATATGATGCAATCTGACATCTTTATTATTGGCAAATGAACGAGAATATAAACCCCTGTGCTCGTGTCTCTGCACAACCCCACTCTCTCACTTATGGTTCCTATAAATCAGCAACCATCACTCAACTAACAGCTACAAACCCTCTAACAAGACTAACTACTAACAGGACTCAATTGTACTCACTACACAGATAGGGACTAAAACAGACATAAACCAATCGACTGACTCTACTAACTGAAACGACAGCGTTTCTTTATTTGACTCTGATATTTAAACTTGGCGCCCTAACAAATCCTTCTCCAGATCGGATTCGGATTCTTCAGGCTGCTGCTGCTGTTCTTCAACCTTCAACATAATCCTCCCCTGAACTGAAGCCGGTTTAGAACCAAGCTTCAGTTCACTTCTTCTTCCATGAACTCTGCAAGATCATACACTCCCAGCTTACTCCTCAGGAGCTGAAAACTCACCAGTTTCAGTGGCTTTGTCATGATGTCAGCCACTTGTTCATGAGTGGTGCAATGCTCCAGTTCTACAACCTTTGCCTTAGCCAGATCTCTGATAAAGTGGTACCTAACATCAATGTGCTTGCTTCTTCCATGCAGCACTGGATTCTTGGATAGTTTAATTGCTGAACTGTTGTCACAGAGAATAGTTGTACAGCCTTCTGCACTCGAGATCCAACCCAAGCTTTCCAGAATCCTCTTCAGCCACACACAGTGAGCTACACAGTATGCTGCAGCAATGAACTCAGCCTCTGTGGTAGAGAGTGTGACTACTGGTTGTTTTTTAGAGGCCCAGGAGATTGCTCCACCTGCAAGGAAGAACACATAGCCACTGGTGCTTCTTCTGTCATCAACATCTCCAGCATAATCACTGTCAGTGTACCCTAGCAGTCTGTCTTCTCCTTCCTTTCTCTTGTACCAGATTCCAGACTTTGTAGTCCCTTTTAGATAACGCAGCACCCTCTTAGCAGCCAGTTGATGCTGTCTAGTAGGAGATTCCATGAACCTGCTTAGAAGACAGACAGAGTACATCACCTCAGGTCTAGTTGCAGTGACATAGAGTAGGCTTCCAATGAGTTGTTTATACTCTGTGGGATTAACTGAAACTCCATCCCCAGCTTTAGATAGCTTGATCCCAGGTGCAATTGGATTGCTAACAAAGTTGCAATCAGCTAACTTGAATCTTTCCAGAACTTCTTTGATGTACTTCTGTTGGCAAATAAAAATTCCTTTCTCTGATTGCACCACCTCAATTCCCAGGAAGTATCTCATCCTTCCCAAATCTGTCATCTCAAATTCAGATTCCATGGCCTTCTTGAATCCAGCAATCATTTCTGCACAATTGCTTGTATACAGCACATCATCCACATATATTGACACAATAAGAATACCTGAATCCTTCTTCTTGATGAACAGTGTATGCTCATGTGGACACCTCTCAAACCCAGTTTTCTGCAGGTACCCTTCAATTCTGCTATACCATGCTCTGGGAGCCTGCTTCAGCCCATACAAGGCCTTTTTGAGCTTGTATACCTTATGTTCCTCCCAGCAACTTCAAAACCTTGAGGTTGCTCCAGGTAAACATCCTCTGTAAGCTCTCCATGAAGAAAAGCTGATTTGACATCTAACTGATAGACTGTCATGCCATGATAAGCAACCAAAGCCAGTATAGTTCTAATTGTGTCCCATCTGGCTACAGGAGCAAACACCTCTGTGTAGTCAATTCCAGCCTTCTGAGCAAATTCCTTGGCTACTAATCTGGCCTTTCTTTTGTCCAGAGAAGCATCCTCCTTCAGTTTTGTTTTGTAGACCCACTTGCATCCAATGGCCACTGCTCCTTCTGGTAAATCAACCAGCTCCCAAGTTTGATTTCTTTCAATTGATTCAAACTCCAGATCCATTGCCTTCTTCCACCTTGGATCTTTGTATGCCTCTTCAAAACTCTGAGGGTCATCAGTGATAGCCAGCATCAATCTCCAGTCAGTGTCTGCAAAACTGCAGTCATAGATGGATAGGTGAGATGGTGGATGTCTGGACCTGGGAGGTAAGCCCAACACATCAGTATTAGACCCAGAACCATCTTCATCAGATTCATTTTCAGGATCCTCAGCTACTGGTGTTTTTGGAGTATCAGGTTCTTCACTGACAGCAGCTTCAGTGTCTGCAGTGACTTCTTCTTCAGTGTCTGAGGAATCCCACTGCTCCTCACTTCCATCCCAGACCAGTTTAGGATCTTCTGTTTCTTCTGAGCCTTCCTTCCAACCCTTGGTTTCATCAAACACAACATCCCTGCTCACTACAATCTTCTTTGTAGCAGGATCAAATAGTCTATATGCTTTAGACTCAGTTGAAACCCCAAGAAAGTAGCACTGTGAAATTTTGCTGTCCAACTTTTTCCTTTTCTGATCAGGAGTGTGTACATAGGCTACACAACCAAAAACTTTGAAATGTTGAACTGATGGTGAATTACCAGTCCAGAGTTCCTGTGCAGTCTTCCCTTGATTAGCACTTGTAGGACTTCTGTTGAGTACATGTGTGGCCCAGGTAACTGCTTCAGGCTAGAAAACAGTAGGCACCTGTGTATCCTGAAGCATGCACCTCACCATATTCATCACTGTTCGATTTTTCCTCTCAGCTACTCCATTCTGTTGTGGAGTGAGAGCAGCTGTCAACTGCCTTCTTATACCAGCTTCATCACAAAGCTCTTTGAATTCAGTTAACATGAATTCCCCTCCTCTGTCAGTTCTGAGACATGTGATATATAATCCATTCTCCTTCTCAACTTGAACCTTAAACTTCTTAAACCAGTTCAAAGCTTCTGACTTAGCAGCTAGGAAGTACACCCACAATTTTCTGCTATAGTCATCAGTTAGGGTAAATATATACCTTTTGCCACTGTTTGAAGCTGGTGTGATTAGACCACACAAGTCTGCATGAATCAATTGCAGCTTCTGAGATGCTCTCCACTGACTCCTTTTAGGAAAAGAATTCCTGTGCTGCTTCCCAGTTAGGCAGGTACTGCACACTCCTGTGTTGCCTTGCAATTGGGGCAACCCTTGTACCAGCTCCTTCTTCTGTAACTGCTGAAGACTCTGAGGACTGATGTGTCCAAATCTCCTGTGCCACAAGCTTAGCTGTGACTCAGAAGCATTCCCAGTCTGAAGACACTGCACATCTGCAGCCTGATTCTCTTTGTGTGCTGTGGTGTGAAGAACAAACATTCTGTTTGTTTTCATCTCAGTTTGCAGCAGGAGCCCCTTGTCTTTATGAAATATCTTGCAGAACCCTTCTTGAATCAGGAATGATAGGCCCCTTTCTTGCCACTGGCCAACACTCAGTAGATTAGTCTTTAGTCCTGGCACATAGAATACCTCCTGAACCACTACTGAAAGCTGATTGACCACCAACCTCACACTTCCTTTCCCAGCTACATTCAGTCTTGTATCATTGCCAAGTCTGACATTACAAGTGAATCCAGTATCCAATTCTGTGAACCATCTCTTCTCTCCTGTCATATGATTTGAGCAGCCTGAGTCAAGAAACCACCAATCAGAATCTGCCTCCTTCGATGACTCTTCCTCCACAAAGGCCATCAGTAACATGTCATCTGTCATATCTCCATAAGCCTTGGTGTCTTGAGTGTGACTGGTGCTAGAGAAATGGACTTGTTGATTTGAGTACCATTCTGGACACTCATTTCTGTAGTGCCCCAGCTTGTGACACTTATAGCATTGCACAGCCTCTCTATTCCATCCTCTACCACCACTTCTTCCTCTACCTCTTCCTGGAAAGAAACCTCTTCCACCTTGACTTCTTCCTCCCCTACTGCCAAACTCATGAGTAGTTCTGAGCACCTGATCCTCATCAGCAGACCCCCTTTTCCTGAATTTTTGTTCATGAACAACCAAAGAACTCTGAAGAGCATCTACAGAAAGCTCCTCAATGTCCTTAGACTCCTCAATGGAACAAACCACATAATTGAACTTGTCTGTGAGAGTCCTAAGCACCTTTTCGACAATTTTCACATCAGGCATCTCATCCCCACAGTTTCTCATGGCATTTGCTATGGTCATGATTCTGCTAAAGTAGCTATTCACAGACTCTCCCTCTCTCATCTCTATAATTTCAAAATCCCTTCTTAAAGCCTGCAGATTTGATTTCTGAACCCTAGCATTGCCCTGATACTTCAGCTTCATTGAATCCCATAGATCTTTGGCAGTACCTTTATTGGAGATAGTCCTGAGGATGGACTTGTCAATGGAGTTGAAGAGATAATTCTTTGCCTTCAAGTCCTTCAGCAGCTGATCATCTCTTGCCTTGACTTCAGCTTCAGAAACTTCTTCTCCCTCCTTCTGTTCTTTCAGGCCATCACGAACCACAGGCCAATATTCCTTTGACCGCAGCAGATTCTCCATAAGGAGACTCCAGTGATCATAGTCTCCATCAAAGCGAGGAAGACCTACTTGAGCAAAGCTCCCTGAATCACTCATCTTGACAGATTCACAACTGCTTGACAGCAGTTGACTCTCACCCTGAATTGAAATAACTCACAGTAACTCTCGTGTTTCCCAACCCAGTCTGCACTAATCAAAAGCAGACTTCTATCTCTATCACTCTTTGCTTGAAAGCCCTCTATCTCTCTTTGCTTGACAGCTTTTCTGGTTACAGCTTGCTTGAGCTCTGATACCACAATGTTAACTCAATATGATGCAATCTGACATCTTTATTATTGGCAAATGAACGAGAATATAAACCCCTGTGCTCGTGTCTCTGCACAACCCCACTCTCTCACTTATGGTTCCTATAAATCAGCAACCATCACTCAACTAACAGCTACAAACCCTCTAACAAGACTAACTACTAACAGGACTCAATTGTACTCACTACACAGATAGGGACTAAAACAGACATAAACCAATCGACTGACTCTACTAACTGAAACGACAGCGTTTCTTTATTTGACTCTGATATTTAAACTTGGCGCCCTAACAAATCCTTCTCCAGATCGGATTCGGATTCTTCAGGCTGCTGCTGCTGTTCTTCAACCTTCAACATTCTGGTTAGAATTGAAGTTACATAGTGAAAGGGATTTCGTGGGTTGGTGGGTTTTCTTTTGTGTCGACATTGGGGGGTGGGAACAGACCGGCAAAAGTTCGTTTTGTTATTTAACTTTCCTAATGACGAAAGGAAAGTAGTAGAAGAGTACAAATAACAAACATCGACTAATACTCTACTGGTGTTTTGTTATATGAATGTCTAGCAATTGGATTTGTTACGGGTAACTTAATATAGGGTTGGAGCTAGTAACACGGATCGATCATTAATCTTGCGGGAATAGAGCATATTTTGTAACCAATTGTATTATGTGATTAGTTAAGCCGAGAAATTAGTTGTTGGAAAGTGAACTACTAAGAGAGTGAACTATAGTTTTTTTTATACAAAAGATAATTAATCAGATCGGAAAATAAATAAATAAACGATACGTAATTGGGTATAAAGAAATTGTCTTTCTAGGCCACCAAATAAGCTACCCTATTACCACTCCGATCTACAATGTTTTTTGTTTGTAATATTATTGTCCTACTAGGAGAGTGTTTTATGAGAAAATTATTGTTTGAAACTATGCAGTAAAAATTATTATATATATTGCCTACACATTTTCAAATAAAGTTTGAACAAGCATCTTTAATCTTTTTAATTATTTTTAATAAGCTAAGTTAAATTATACTTTATTCCAGTTCCAAATATTGCTCCAATAACTACTTTGCAAAGGAAACGATAAACTTGACATCAATGGTGGACCCACGATTTTTTGACAAGTGTATCGGTCGATAATTTAATGAATAAAATTTTAATTCATAAAATTCACAATATTACTATTTTTTTTACAACGAACTTCGACGAGTTTTCATATTTTTAAAAGTTTGTAAATACATCCGTCCCTTACTTTGCGAATCAAACCTTTTTCGATATACACAACTAAACATCATTCATAAATTGCTCACTCAATCGATTACGAAAATCATTTTTCA